GGCGGGGGACACTTCCTGTGAGCGGTCCGTCACTTCCGGCATGTCCCGGAAACGCGGTGGGGAATATTAGTTCCGGGGGAATCCATCCGCCGCGCCCCTCTGCAATGTCGCCCCCGGTCCGTCACCCCGGGGCGGGTTCCCCACCGCGCAGGGTATCCCTCCGCCTCGGTGTCCCGCCGAGGCGCCCACATCCCTCCCAGGGCCTGCCCCAACCTTCTCCCCAAGGCCCCGTCCCCATGGAGGGCTCCGGGCCCTGTGTCCCCCCAGGGGTGGAGGGGTCGCGGGGTGCTGCGTCCTCAGACACGCACACGCGGGGCTGAGCTGGAAATGGCTCTTCGTCGCTGGTATCCGAAAAGCGGCTTCGTGCCCGCTGTGCAGTAACCCATCTTAACACTCTCAGGAGAGATGTTGTATTTATTCAGGCCTGGGCGCTCAGTGGACTTTTCCACAAATCAAGCACCCCGACAGCAGGTTTTCATTCTCCTTTTATACACAAAAATCAGAAGTTAGCACTTTCCCAAACACACCTATTAGATACTGATTGCTTAGTGATTAACCCACAACTATAAGACGGGTTTCCATAAAGCTTCTGCTATCCACATGCTCAGGGGAAGGGTCTTAACCTGGGCAGGGGTCTTTTTGACCTGTGGGTGTGGCTTTTAGAATTAAAATGAAAGCAGTTCACTTTCGGGGCATTCCAGAGTTAGTTTCATTGCCAAATTAAGTAATCAGACATTCACTTATGGTCCAAGATGTTCTGCTTCTTGTCTATGGTTTGGAGATCAAAGCTGCTTCTTAATAAACTTCTTAACGATAATCAAGGTTAGCTCGACCACGATTCCAAGTCTTACTCGACCAGGTTTTGAAACCTCAAAATTGGCCCCATATGTGCCATAACTATGGTTACTAGCACAATTATTAGCCGTGGCTACAAGCAAATGCAAAGTGTACTATATCATTGCCACCATGGTGGTCCCAGCAGCACCAGGCGTCCCTCGGTGTCTTCAGTAGGTGCTGAAGACAGCATGGATGTGCTCCCCGTTGTGCGGCTTGTAGGTACCGACCCCTGCAGCAGAGGGAAAGGTGTGAGGCCAGGATGTTGTGTCCCCCAGCACAGTTCCCCCGTGTCCCCCACCCCAGGCTGCTCACCTTCTTGGAGGGCCTTCCCACCGCTGAGGAACTGCCAGTAGGTCCTGTCGTTTGAGTTGGCAGCCAGCCCGTGGATGGAGATCACCATGGGGCCCCAGGATGTCTGCTCTGTCTGAAAGCTACCAGGGAGGCGCGTGGGCTTGGGGCGCAGTGGGGGGATGCCACGGCTTCCCCCTCAGCCCCTCTGGTTCTCACCTAAAGATTTGGGGTTTCTCCGCCTCTGCTGCCTGCAGCACCTTGAGCAGCGTGGAGCCGCTCGGGACCCGGACTGAGGTGGTGTAGCTGAAGTGCTTTCCCTGCAGCTTGTTGATGATGGAGTAGTGCACCTCGATGGTGGGTGCTGGGAGAGGAGAGAGGTAGGGTGTGCACCTGTCACACTGCCACAGGGCATCATCCCCATGGGGGCTGGGGGTGCTCCGGGCAGGAGCAGCTGAACCTTTGCAAACCCCAGTTGTACCCGGATTTGGGGACAGGACAGCTGCAAGCTTGGATACATACTGGTTTTGGCAGCGCAGTCCACACTAGCTGCTTCCAGGTAGGATCTGCCTGCGAGGGCAGGCAGGACCTGGGCAATGGCCATGGGCAACTCATAGTCATGTTTGTACACCATGGAGAAGGCCTGGGCACAATCCCACTCCCGTGGGGCATAAAACTTGCCCGTGGCCTGCAGCGCCTGTGGAGGAGGTGGGAGACAGTGTGAGCAGCCTCAGAACTGGGACTGGGTGGCCACAGTGCTGCAGCTCCCCCATCCTCGTACCTGCATGGCCAGCCCCATGCTGTAGATGTTTCCAATCATGCCATGGCCCTTCTCCTGCTCATCCAGGAAGCTGTTGGTCACAGTTGACAGTGCCTCCCAGAGCAGTTCCCGCATGTCACGGAGATCCGTGTGGCTGTACGTGCACGCCATTGCCAGCGCCGCCACGGCACGGGTGTCTGCGGGATCCCAGGGTCACCACCAAGCCCGTTGGCAGGAACAGCAAGCAGAGGGGACACAGTGGGGCCACAGAGGTTCCTTACCCACATCGAGGTGGCTGTCGGGGCTCAGCACTCGCTTGGCCAGGATCACGGATGCCCCTTGGTAGCCACCTGCCTTTGTCAGGCACAGGCTCAGGGCATCCAGGCTCACTCTGTACAGGGTGGTCTTTGGGATGCCCTCCACCTCTGCAAAGCAAAGTGCGGCAAGCTGAGGGGGGGCTGGGATGCAGGGAGGGAGATTGTCATCCCCCAGCCCTTTCTCCACAGAATCCCAGAATGATCTGGGTTGGAAAAACCCTTGAAGCTCCTCCAGTCCAACCATGAACCTCACATTGACCGTTCCCAACTCCCCCAGATCCCTCAGCGCTGGGTCAACCCGACTCTTCAACCCCTCCAGGGATGGGGACTCCCCCCCTGCCCTGGGCAGCCCATTCCAACACCCAACAGCCCCTTCTGCAAAGAAATCCTTCCTCAGAGCCAGGCCAGCGTACCCAGGCTGGCCACCTCCTCGTCCGTTTTCTGCTGCAGGATGCGGAGGAGGTCGATGCTCTGCCCCAGGGCCTGGACCTGCCGGGGGTTCTCGCAGGAGGAGATGAGGGCAAGCACATACAGAGCCACCTCTCCTGAGGTCATGTCTGTAGGGACAAGAGAGCAGCCAGGGCACATGGGGGGGCCAGTATATGGCACCCCCCTATCTGGCCAGGGTGGAGAGAGTTGGCAGTGCCCAGCCTGTGGTACCGGGTCTGCTGGGACCAGGTGCCGTGGCAGGAGTGCACCCCCCACCCCTCCCTACCTTTCTGGGCTCTCTTCACGGCCTCCTTCTCTATCTCCTGCAGCAGCTGCTTGTGGGTGATACTGCCGGTGGCCCCAGCCAGGTTCATGGCCAGCAGGACGCTGGGGTTCGGTGGCTCATCCGTCTTGACAGAGTCCTCCAAATGTCGCAGCATCTTGGAGACCACATGGTGCGAGGCAACTGGAAGGAGAAGGTCTGGGCACTTGTGGTGGGAGGTCACCCCATGTCCCCTTCAGGCAGCCCCTCACAAGGCCACCAGTCTCTCTCCACGGGAGGGCTGACACTCACCGCAGTTGTGGGCGACCGTGCTGCCTGCCAGGGCCAGCAGGACCCCGATGCTGAATGCCACGCCGAGCATCCTCTTGTCCTCAGGGCAAGCAGGTCCACTCAGGCTGGCAAAGTCCTGTGGGCACTCACTGGTCTCTCTGGGCATCCTCTCTGCTTTTAACAGCTCCTGGTGCCCTTCTCCGGTCACCTGCCCTCCCACAGTCCTCCCTGCCAAGCACCACCCGCTTATCTGTGTGCCCAAGGGTTGGAGGATCACGGCTGCAGGGGCAGTGATTTTCCATTTGAGGTCACTGAATTTGCAAAAGACTGGTTGTACCAGTTGTGGCTGGATGGGGGCTCATCCCAGGGTGCTGAAGGAGGTGGTGAGTGTCACAGCAGGACCCCCCCTTAAACATCTGCCCAAGGTTCTGGGTGCCCGGGGAGGTGCCCGCTGGCTGGAAGCTCACCAGCCATATCCCAGTTTGCAAGAAGGGCTTGTACTTCCAGGGAACTACAGATCTGTGAGTCTAACCTCAGTTCCTGGAAAAATTATTGAGAATATTAATCTGGGTACTTCCGTAATGCATTTAAAGAATTATGCAACCCTCAGGCAGAGTCAACATGGGTTGAGGCAGGGAAAGTCCCGTCTAACTGGTTTGGTATCCTGCTATGATGAGGTCACTCACCTTGTAGATGACGGGAAGGTGGTGGATGTTGTTTTTCTGGATTTTAGTAAAGGTTTTGATCCTGTCCTTCCCAGCATCCTTCTGGAGAAGGTGTCCAGCTGTGAGATGAGCAGGGACAGGGTGTGTTGGGTGAGCAACTGGCTGGATGGGGTAGGAAATGGGGCTACATCTGGCTGGAGACCAGTCAGTGCCATTGATGCCAAACTGGGAGGTGCTGGTGAGGGACAAGAGCCCTGCAGAGGGATCTGGCTGGGTGGGAAACAGCAGGACATTTAAGAACAAATGCTGGATTCTGCACCTGGGACGGGGTGCACTGGTGGGGAACCTTCCTTACTGATGTGGGTGAGCACGCAGGGGCCGCAGTTACGCAGCAGCTCTGCCTCCCGCACCGCGCTCTGGTCAGGACGTGGGGGCTCGGGACAAGCTCTGGTTGCACCGACTGGGTCATCTTCTGCCCCAGGCTGCTTGCCACGGATTACAGGGGTGTCATGGGCTCCCAAGGGCTGTGCTCCCAGGACCAGCCTGTCCCATCTCACTGTCCCCACTGTCACCCCTTCCCTTGCTTGCTTCCTCACACCAGAGCCTGGAGGTGTCTGGGATGGGGAGGGTGGGCTGGGGGTGTCCCCCCTTGTCCCAAGACAGCTCAGGGTACAGAGGTCAATGCCCTTCTGTGCCTCAGTTTCCCCACAGGCTGGGCAGTGTGAAGGTGCCCCAAAGATATGCTCATCACCCTGTGTGTGGTGACTACCCTGCTTTTAGGGGCAGAGATTGACCCCCACCTTCTCCATCCCCCCCCCAGGGCAGGCACAGGGACCAGTGGGGCAACAACCAGGACAAGGGGAAGGAGCAGGGCTGGAGCAAGGACAGGGATGGGGATGGGGGCTCTTGATCCGCACCATGGGAGAGGGTTCTGCCAAGCATCCCCCCAACCCTGGAGCCATCTCTTGCTGGTGCGCCGCGACAGCCCACCAAAGCAAAAAAAAAAATCACATCGGGGGCTGACATCCTGCTCTCAACTCCAAGCAGCTGAGGGAACTGGGGCGGTTTAGTCTGGAGAAGAGGAGGCTGAGGGGAGACCTCATGGCCCTCTACAGCTCCCTGACAGGAGGGTGCAGAGAGGGGGGATGAGTCTCTTGAACCAAGGAACAAGCACCAGGACAAGAGGGAATGGCCTCAAGCTGCCCAGGGCAGGGTCAGACTGGCTCTGAGGAAGGATTTCTTTGCAGAAGGGGCTGTTGGGCATTGGAATGGGCTGCCCAGGGCAGGGGGGGAGTCCCCATCCCTGGAGGGGTTGAAGAATCTGGTTGACCCAGCACTGAGGGATCTGGTGAAGTTGAGAATGGTCAGTGTGAGGTTCATGGTTGGACTAGAGGATCTTCAAGGTCTTTTCCAACCCAGATCATTCTGGGATTGAGAGCTCTGTGATGAGATGAGCCACAGGTGGGTGCAAGGGACTGGGTGTGGGGCTGCAGGGAACCACCCAGCCTCCCATTGGGAGACCCGTGGCCGCTGACCTTGGCCCAGGTGTAAAAGCCATCAGTGGGGGCTGCCCCTTCTCTTCCTTCTCCATCACAATGAAGGCTCTTGTGAGAAGGTGGTTTGTGCTCTTTCTTGCTGCTGCTGCCTGGGCCCAGGATGCTCTGGGTAAGGGTCGGGGTGGGGGGGAGTCGTGCTGGGTCTGGCTGCCCTCCTTGGGGAGGGGGAAACAGGCAGTGCCCCCCTGGGCTGGGCTGTGGGGTGTCTCTGCTCTGGGCATGGCTGTTTGCTGTGGGGTGGTGGGTGCAAGCAACGCCTGGCTGCCCCCAGAGGAGGACTATGGCTGTAAATGTGGAAACAGGGGAACTTGAGGAGATATTTGTGCTGGGGCTTGCCTGACTTGCTCCCCTGGGAGCAGGTAGCCAGGGGGTCCCTGGCAAGCTGGCTCAGTCCTCCCTCTCCTCATCCTGCCGCAGTCTCTGTTATGTGTGGCCACACGTGGCTTTCTGTGTGGGTGCCGGCCGGCCTCCTGGGGAGTCGTGTGGCCAGTGGGGAGCTGATGCTGGGATCTGGCTGTGGGGTGACGGCTGCTGATGGGGACGGCTACAGGCTGGAGCACCCACTCGTGGCCTGTGGGACCACTCTGGAGGTGAGGAGCCAGGGGTGACCCATGTGTGCAGCACCCACATTGAGGGGTGTGAAGGATGTAAGGGGGAGGGACCATGTCCCACAGGGGAGGGACAGTGTCAGGGTACCCACAGCTAGGGAGGAATCCATGTGGGAGAGGCGTGGTGGGTCCTCCACAGCCACCCACCTACCCAGGGTGCCTGTGCCATCATTGTCAGTGCACCCACATGCTGGGTTAGCCTGACTATGAGGAAAGATTTCTTTGCAGAAGGGGCTGTTGGGCGTTGGAATGGGCTGCCCAGGGCAGGGGGGGAGTCCCCATCCCTGGAGGGGTTGAAGAGTCGGGTTGACCCAGCACTGAGGGATCTGGTGGAGTTGGGAACAGTCAGTGAGGTTCATGGTTGGACTGGAGGGGCTTCGAGGGCTTTTCCACCCTCGATGATTCTATATCTGCTCATTCCCCCAGCTCCTCCCAGACAGGATCCGCTACAGCAATGTCCTCTACTACCGCCCGTTGGTTGGGGGGCCTGTAGCTCGTGCCAGACCCTTCTCCCTCCCTGTGGATTGTTACTACCCCAGGTAAGTTGGGAGCTCCACGTCCCCATGCTCCTGGGTGTGATCCACGATGGGACCCCTCAGTGCTGGCCCCATCCTGGGCAGGGTGGCTGCTATGGAGGGGTGCCTGCCTGTGGGGGACATGGCAAGAAGGGGTGCCCTGTCTGTCCCTGGGAGCCTATCACCCCATTTGTGGATGCTTTGTGGTGCAGGACGGGCAGCGTTTCATCCGGGGCCGTCCAACCCACCTGGGTCCCCTTCAGCTCCACTGTCACTCACCGGAGACGCTTGCGCTTCGCCCTGGATGTGTATGACAGTGAGTGGGGGACCCCCAAACCCCCTTGTTCCCCTGTGTGTGTGTGAGGGGTACACACACACACAACACAACATCCCCTCCTGCCTTCCAGGTACCTGGTCCTCCCGCCTGCACCAGCCCACTTATTTCCTGGGGGAACTGGTCAACATCGAGGCGTCGGTGAGCACCGACCCCCGCCTGCCCCTGAGGGTCTTTGTGGACGAGTGTGTGGCCAGCCCAAGCACAGCGACGTGGCTGAAGTACAAGGTCATCGCTGACAATGGGTGAGCATCACAGCTGGGCACGGGGTGCCCCCCAGACTGCTGATCTCCTTCCTCACCAGGACCCTGGGTGGTGGCAGTCCTGTTTCACCCCATTTCCCATCCCCGTAGGTGTCTGTTGGATGAACAGCTTGGTCGTTCCCGCTTCCTACCCCAGAGTGGGGACAGCTTCCTCCGCTTCCAACTGGACACCTTCCTCTTCCCAAATGCCTCCAACAACCAGGTCTGTGCCAGCGGGGTCTGTGGGTGTGGGGAAGGGGTGGCTGGGGGTGATTGTTGGTGAGCCATGGGACAGTTCAGGACGTGTGGCAGGAGGATGCTTGTCCCCACAGATCTACCTGCACTGTCACCTCAAGGCTGTGGTGGAGGGGACTGGCAGCACCTCTGGCAAATCCTGCTCCTATGACCGCATGGCAGACGCCTGGCGCTCCCCGGATGGGGCCAACTGTTCATGTTGTGGCTCCCCGGCTGGCTGTGGGGGCCGTCGGCGCCGTCAGCTGGCCGGCAGCAGAGGTAGGAAGACCCTTCTGAACCCATGGGGGGGAATGCAGGGACCCATGAGATGTTTGTGCCCAGCAGTGCCTGATGGGCTTCTCCTTACAGGGCTCCTGGGGGAAGCCAGCATCCTCCTCAGCCCCCTGGGGCTAGTTTCAGCTCTGCCCAGCTTGTCCCCGGCCCCCACCGGGCTCCTCAAGGCACTGGAGCCCAGCACGGCACTGCCGCGTCGCCCCTCAGTCCCCGTGGTGCGGGAGGAGAAGAGGGACTCAGGTGAGTGTGAGCTGCCCCACGGTGCTGGGGGGTGGTGGGGATGACCCTACTGTCCCCCTCACCCCACTCTCTCTCCCCTGCAGGGTCAGCTGTCCCTGGCACCACGCTGGCCATGGTGGCCATGTGCTCCATCCTCGTTGCTGTCAGTGTGGTCGGCTGCTACTGCTCGGTGCGGCGGTACCAGAGTGGGCACGGGGTGGGGGACCCTGAGACAGCCTCGGGGGAGCCCTGTGATGTGGCCATGGCCCCTACAGCAGCTGGTGGTGCTTGGGCCACCCCCAGGAACCCCCCTGTTCCTGCAGACCCTGCTGTGGTCTGACTCTCCTTCTTTTGGAAATAAAACCTGTGGCAGAAAGGCTGTGCCAGTGCAGTGTGGAAGGGGGGGTGGTGTCTCCACGGGTGAGTGGGTGTGGGGTGTGATGTGTCCCTCCAAAAGGGCCCGCTAACCTCTCTTGGGTGCTGTCGGACACCCCATGCTGCTCACCATAGAGTGGGGAGCAGGGCTGGGCCGCTTGCAACTGTGGCTCCTGTGCTATATTGGGGGGGATTAGAGCACTGGTACCCCTCTGCCTGGGTGGTGGGTGAAAAACAACCATTGCCAACATAAGGACACCAGTGTGGTGAGCCCCTGGCACAGCTGCAGCTCCCCCCCTCTCCCTGGGGATGCTCTGGTGAATTTGCAGAGAAGGCGGGGGGGTAAGAGCAGAGCTGGGGCAGGGGGGGCAGGTTTGTAGCATCCCAGGTGGAAGCTCGTGGGCACCAGATTTGTGCAGCTGTGTGATGTTAGGGTACTGAGGGGCAGATGGGCTGCCCGGGCCTTGCTGCTTGG